GAGCTGGCCTCAGTCAATCATCAGTGAGCAGCTAGAACAGAAGCGTAGAGGAGAAAGAAAGTTATAACGACACACAACCGTGTTCTTGTCAAAGATGTGATACAGGCCTTACGACACAAAGGCAGTCCAAAAGGGAGGCAGGGAGTGTTCCATGCCCCCAGTGCCCCCTGACCAAATCTAATTGGCTTCCCTCGGCGGCCCTCGACAAAGCCACTGGACTGGAGTAATGTTAATCTGAGAATCCCCACCATCGTTATGAGAGCCTGGATGGGACCAGAAGGAATGCAACAGTTCAGTTACTCATGTCCTTTACTGAGGTTTAATGTACTTGTCATTGAGTTAAATCTTTTTTTGTTACCCTGCTTTCAGCTTTTACTCTGTTTTTATTTCGGATGCAATTATTGCACTTTAGATTTTTCTGCAGATGAACTCCATTAATATATGTAGGTAATTAAAATCATCAACAACTGCAACATAACAGATATACAGATCAATAAATCCATATTATGATACAATAATATAATGTACATGAATCTGGAAAGTGTCATTCTGCATATTGACTACATTTGTTTTGGATAGTTTAAATATATATTAATTATACTGTGCATTATTAAGCTGCTTAAGTACTTAAGTTTTAATTAAGTTAAAAGTCTAAACACTTTGCAAAACAATTATCCAACACGGAATTATGTTTAAAATCTCGTGCAACAGAACTTTTCACATAATAAATCTGTAACGACACACAAGGCTGCACATGAGCATGTTCATGGTCTCCCCTTTTGGCACCCATTTAAAAAATCGTGGAAATGCCCCGAGGCAGCAGCAAGATAATGATGTCTAATTAGCAGTGATTGACAGGCTTGTTTAAAGAAAGTGAGTTCATTCATTTTTTTTCAAAATACGTGGTCCTTGAGGTTGAAGTGGGCACTGCAAGCATAGCCAGCAGATACTGTACCTTGTAACCAAGAGTATCGAGTGAGTCACAGCTGCTCTTTTCCAGTTTGTCTCTAATGAGTAAGTAAATGGAAACAACAATGCTTCTGTGTTCAGCTGCTAGTGGAAGCATTTGTCCATAAATGATTCCAGATACATATGTTTATTCTATAGTTTAAACTGCAAACACATCTGTTTTTGTTCTTCAAGACTGGTGGTTCACCAAATTCCATTTAAGATGCTGGATGCTACATAAAATGCTTTAATTTGAGGGGATTTATTTCAAAATTGAAAGAAATGCACATTAGATGCAATCCTCCTCACAGTATCCACACTGCGAGGTTTCATGAGTACTTGGACAGTAGCCCACTACACATTTCTTTGGCTGCTCTGTGCTATTTTAATGTAACACTCGTCGTGAACATTTTGACTGAAGCAGTGTTGTCTATCCATATGTAAGTGAGGCATTGAGCAGAATTAAAGAAGAAAAAAAATGAGGTTAACGAAAGCAAAAACAGAAACAAAGGTAGTGGGTTTGCCAGAATCTGCTGGTTATGCTCCAGCACCGCAAATGTGCACAGGATAGTTGGGAAGTGACAGCCAATCTGGTATTTACATGGAGCACAGCATGTCCAGAATGCTCTCCATGATTTAGGTGGACATGTTCCCTTGTCAGTGATAATGACAGTTTCTGGTTAAAACCTCAGAGGATTCTGGTGGACTAGAAACGAATAAAACTGACATCTTCATTGAAGGCATATTTATTCACAGCAAGTTTAATGTAATAACCGTGATTACATTTCAAACTAATTTGTAAAGAGGCAGAAAAGGAGGACAAATATCGAACTGTTCAACCACTGATGCTGTGCGTTCTAGATTCTTACTTTACACCCAAAGTTTAAACTTTGAGAAAGAACATGAAATAAAGCAAGTGGGGAAAAAATAGCCGGTTACGATGACTTATTATGTATTTTCTTTTTAAGGTCAGCGCCGTCAGACTGCTCGCTGTCATTACATACATTTCATACACACGGGCGACCGTGGCTCAGGGGGTTGGGAAGTGTATCTGTAACTGGAAGGTCGCCGGTTCGATCCCTGGGTCGTTGTGTCCTTGGGCAAGACACTTCACCTAACACCTACTGGTGTTGGCCAGAGGGGCCGATGGCGCGATATGGCAGCCTCGCTTCTGTCAGTCTGCCCCAGGGCAGCTGTGGCTATAACTGTAGCTGCCTCCACCAGTGTGTGAATGTGAGAGTGAATGAATAGTGGTATTGTAAAGCGCTTTGGGTGTCTTGAAAAGCGCTATATAAATCCAATCCATTATTATTATTATCATAGGAGCTGAATTTATTGTGAAACATTGTGCTGCACTTTATACCTGTGAACAAATCCAAGTATGACGTGAATTTATACAACTTCGTTATTATTTTAAGTGCTGGTCTTAGCAGGCTCTGAAATTAACACCTTTAATGGGTGCATTAAAAAATTTAAATTAAGTATTAATGGAAAGCATTTACCACTGTTGGAAAGGCGAAAGTTTGTTTTGCAAGTTAATAGTACCTTGTATTTTTATTCTCATGGATATTTGGTTATTTATAACATTAAGGCACCAAATGGCACTTTTTAAAATTTCGAGTATAGCTGCAGCAGAGATAAAGATTTTGTCTGTCCTTAGAGTGAAGGACTTCTTTCTTGAGCCATTTAATGAAAAGAAATCCACCGACGAGTACAGACAAAACAGAAGCCTCGGTGAATCAGGGGGCGATACGCTGTTTTTGGTAACTGCCTCACTTTTTCTTGATATGAAAAATCTTTCAATTTCAGCATGTCCATTACTGTCTCTCTGCATAGCCTACAGACACATAAAACAGATTTAAAGGCGTTTGGGGGGGGATTTATGAAATCATATTGTGCAGTGCAAAATGATGCATGTTTGAGGTGAGTGGGTGTAACACAACAAGGAAATTTCAAGACTTGACATCACAAAATAATGGAATTCGGTGACATTTGCTGATAGATTGATAGTGTAGCAGTTTGTTCGAAGAAGGGGAGGACGTTTTCATAGAAAATTGGCACTTTCTAGGAGTTCTATACAGTTTGACAAACCTAACATTACAAAGATGGAAAGCAATTTCGTGCATTTTGCTGTTGAAACTACTAGTATGATTTCGGCTTCAATTCAATTGGGAATTACCAGCAAAGCAATTTTTGGTGACAGTAACTCCAAACTGACTGTTTTATCCAAATAAAATTGACCATTTTCACACGGTTTTCATATCATATCATGGTATAAACATTATGATTTTTTAAAACGCTTGCATTGGCTGGTGTATGCGGTTTTACGGATCTATGTGTGTTTCCTCTTTCTGTCCCTATGAAGTGGACTGGCCCAGAGTCACACCAGAGGGCCTCCTGCTTCTCTCGGTATTTCATTACAGCCACAGTAGGATGCCACCACAGTATATATGCACAACAAACTGAACCACCTCCTCCTCTTATGCTTTCCCTGCCCTCCTCCCTCTTCTTCTCTCCCTGGGCCTCTTGTTTGATGTCCCTTTCCATTCACTGCCCTTCTTTTATCTTTCTCCCTGCACTCCCACTTTTCTTTTCTCTCTGTTTCCCTCTCCGTGCCTTCTGTCTTGGACTCTCCTACTTAACTCCCCCCCCTTGTCTTTCTTATCTATCATCCCCCCAGCCAAGCCCAAGAATTCGGCCAATGGTGTGACTGTCCAAGCTGGCACCAAGTCGGTGGTGGTAGCCCGGTGTGAGGCAGCGGACGCCAAACCAGCAGCCACGATCGAGTGGTTGGCGCCAGTGGGAGGCAATCATTCGACCAGCACCACGAGCGGGCCAGACGGCACGGTGACGGTACGCAGCGAGTATCGGCTGGTCCCTACACCGGCAGACAACGGCAGGGAAGTGATCTGCAGAGTCAACCAGAAGACACAGAAGCAGCCTTGGGTTTACCCAATCAAGCTTTCTGTGGAGTGTAAGGAAGACACACACATATACACTGTTGAACAAAGCACTTAGAATTGTATTCCCTAACAGGGTACTTTATTTCAATGATCACAAGACCAACTAAAGTTTTAAATAACTTGAAAGTGCATGCAATTTGAGACACAGATCAGTGCTTTTCAAAGAACCTGGAGCCCTTAACTTTCACAGTCACTTGCAAGTGCTTTACCACTAACTGAGAAGGCATTATATACTGTTTCTGTAATGCAGTGTTACTTGAATTGAATCCCACTGGTGGGAACAACAAGGGGAAAAATTGCAATTGAAATAAAGTTGACTAAACAGTAATTTTCTAGGGAAAATAAACAAATAAGAGTATTTTACTATATCTTACATTCCCATTATCAAAATAGTATAGCAAACCTGCAGAATATGTGACAACACGTTTGGGATAGTGGTGCAAATGAACTGCCTCGTGAATGCACATCATGATCTAACAAGGACAAGTTTTCGCTGACAGTATTTGTGTACTTGGAATTTATTAAATTGCAGTGTTGCAGCCCACTGCTGGAACTCTTCGCTGAATAACTGAGGTAATGAGCTTAAAACCAGCCAAAAGCAAACTCAGCCAAGGTTGGTTTACTCGGTATGTCTAACTGTACCACAAGATCCTTGGTTAGCAACTAACGCATCCAGCAGCCTGTTGCTTATATCCTATTTTGGAGTGTAATCCTTTGCTGATTAGCTATAAAACTGCAGGATTTTGTGCACTATTAATTGTAGCACCCTTAATGGGCTCTGCGTTCATTGCTGGTTCTCCTTAGTTGTTCATTTATCAGCAGATTATGACAAATGCATGCACTTAGAAATCTTTAATTACATGTAATATGAGGACAGATGAAGCAGATGTGTATAAAAACTCAGAATGTTCAATCTGCAGTAAACCCAAACTTTAGAGAG